TTAACCGCCTACCTCAATGATTAAGAGCAGGTACTTTCTAGACCTGACTTTCTGGATTTGGATCTCCACTCTACCACTTTACAAACGTGGAATCTTGGGCAAGTGATATAAGCACGTTTTCTTTGGCTTTCTAATCTGTAGAATGGGTATAATAGTAGTACTTACCTCTAAAGTTGTAGTGAGAATTTTAACAGTTCTAGGTGTGTGAGCAGCACCTAGAACATTGCCTGGAAGAGTTAAGCAGCATACTGAAATAGAAATTTTAATTATCAACTTTGAGGGTGATGTCTTCTCAGCTAATGCCTTCTAGCTAATAAATAAATGATAATAATTGTTAACATTTTAGCATCTATGGACCAGGTACAATGTTAATTGCTTTGAACCCATTGTTTTTTGTTTGTTTGTTTTATCCTCACAATTATTGTGGTAGTTAAAAGTATTATCCTTCCTTTTCCTCCTCTTTGTTTTTCTAAAGCAGCTAAGAAAATTCAGGTCAGTAAGATATCAGATAACTCTGTAACTTTCTCATAGTTACAGAGTCAGTAACAAATAGAGCCAATACTTAACCTAAAATGAATTCAAATATGTCTTGGTCTTTCTCAAATATCACTGGGAAAATGGCAATAAATTATTTTTGTGTGTTTCCCACCTCCCAAGAGTTGCCTCAATACTGTGCAGGTCAGGAAGGCTAGGTTTTCTTCAGAGGCAGAAGGGCAGCAGGCAATAAAGCAAGAGTCTCTCTCTTGAAGGCTGGCAGCAAAGGGGATGACCAAAATAGCAATAGTCATAACCAGCGCACTTATTGTGCCCCAGTGTGCTACACAGTCCACATTACTGCCTAAGGCCACCAGAGATAAAAATGCAGGATCCCTACCTCACCTGACCTGTAAAACTTGGATATTATCAAAGATTTTGTTTTAGGACAGCATCAAGAGGCTCTGTAATATACTATTCTGACTCCAGCCAAAGCGGTAGTAATTTTCATATTTGCTGTTCGTAGAATTAGGTGTTTCTACCTCAGCCCAAGAGCACAGGGAAATCTCCTTTTACCCCAGATGAAAACTAAAAAGGTAATTTCCTCCTTTCTTTCAGAGCCTACAGTACCCACAGTCTTGTTCTTGCTCTACACCCATCCACTCCCACTTCCCAACTTATCCTCAGGCCGTTTATAATGTTTTTTTTTCCCCCAGAAGGACTGGTGATGGTTTAAAAAGGCAGGGGAAGGAGAAGGTAAATCGCAAGTTTGCTGAAGGTAAATCAAGTACTGCTTTATACCCACCCCCTATTACTTCTGCAGATCCCCGACCTTCCTCACTCCCTTTTGGCACTTTAGAACCCATTATTCTGCACACCCAGGAAACCTCTGGGCTGGAATTGTAGAAGAATCAACTTCTTGTCTTTTTTCCCCTCCAATGTCCACAATAGCATGTATGACTGGCCTTGGTCTTCTACTTAAAGAGGCTAAGTTTTAAAAGAAAAAAGGAGAGAAATAGCATAAGAAGGCATTTTACTTAATTTTCTTCAATATTTTTAGCTATCAAACTATTAGAAAATGTCAGTGCAGGGGTAAAACTACAAGAAGTTTAGTTCTAGAGGCCAGGAAAAATAGAGGTCTTGGTGCAAAGCAAAAGTGTTGACAAAAGAAAGACAAGCAGACAAGGGTGCCTCTAAGGTCAGTAGAAATAAACGAAGAGGGGAGGTTGGGATAAAGATCTCAGACAAGAGACCCTGCCCTTATAGCTCCTTTCACCTTAAACTCCATATCCTAATTCCAGAGACTTCATCTGTATTAAATTCTTCTAACCAACCTGGTCTCCTAACCAACCCAGCTTTCACTTTTGGGCATCTTGCCCTGATCACTGAAGCCACCACCAGCTGCAACTGCTTCGCAAAAAGAAAGGTGAATGGGGAGAATATTCCTAACCCAGTGTTAGAAAGGGAGATGTGTTCCCAGCATTCCTAGTGATTCTCAGAACATATTTTTAGAAACACTACATAGTTTCAGTGTTCTAGAAACCATACATAGTTTCAGTGTTCAAATTCTGCAATACTTTCTGTAGTATGTTTCAGTTACATGTTTCTTAAGGGCTGATCTGGCATCCTAACACACAAATGACAGTGTTTCGGGACGACTGGGTGGCTCAATCAGTTAAGCGTCCAACTTCAGCTCAGGTCAGCATCTAATAGTTTGTGGATTCGAGCCCCTTGTCAGGCTCTGAGCTGACAGCTGAAGCCTGGAGCCTGCTTCAGATTCTGTGTCTCCTTCGCTCTCTGCCCCTCCCCTACTCACGCGGTCTCTTTCTCTCTCTCTCAAAAATAAAATAAACATTAAAAAAGTTTTTTAAACAAATGACAGTGTTTCTATATTGTAGTGTACATACACTGCTGGTGACCAGTTCAGGCCTCCTTTACAGGGCAGATGGACCCATCCCCCAGCAGCTCTGGGTATTAGCTGCTAACTACAGCTTCTTCCTTCTCTAGAGAATTGCACTCTGCAGAATAAGAGCTTCAGTACTCTGCCACACTCCCACTCCTTACACACCCCTGCAACCTGCAGTCAATGACTGAATGATGATGAAGGTACATAATGCCAGCCACTCTGCCTCAAGGTGGACCAATTCTGTGGGGGCAAATTTTACTCCAGTGCTCCTTGTGGGGTAAAGTTAAAGCTAGTCTCCAACTGGCTTAGTTGTTTTCCTCCTTGCCCTGTCCTGCTTCCTTCATTTCCCTTTACATGAAAGCACTTCGTTAATAAATCACTTACATAAGAACCACCTCCTTTCAGGCTGCACTTCAAACAACACTCTCTAAGACTCGTGCTTTTTTTTTTAAGTTTATTTTATTTTAACTTTTTTAATGTTTATTATTTATTTTTGAGAGAGGGAGAGACTGAGTGTGAACAAGGGAGAGGCAGAGAGAGAGGTAGAGAGAGAATCCCAAGGAGGCTCCATGCTGTCAGTGCAGACCCTGATGCAGAGCTTGATCTCATGAATCGTGAGATCATGACTTGAGCCGAGATCAAGAGTAGGACGTTTAACTGACTGAGCCACCCAGGTGCCCCCAAGACTCATTCTTATCTCAGGTTTATCAGAGGACTAAGTAAAGAAGGCCCTCTGTAGTCCTCCCTTTCCCTGACCAGACCAAACCCCCATTGTAAGCAGAAGAGTCATCCATCTCTGGGAAGCCAGTGGTGAATTATGAAACTAGACAGGGCCCCTCAAATCAAAATTGGACCTATGACATAATTCAAATGACAATGAAGCCCAGCCAATTCCTGATATCTTTTGTTTTGGTGACACCAACAGATCACATTCTATCAAATCATAAATAAAGGTATATTTGTTCATACTTCATTGTAATTCTTTGTCACTACAGAATGTCAAAAATTCTTATAATTATGGGAAAATGCTATATAGCATTTCTTAAACTTTTGGCTAGATTATTATTCTCTTGTGATAGATATTCCTGCTCAATAGCATGAATCTTAAATTTGTTTATCAGCTGTTGGCTGTTTTATTTCTGTAAACTGTAAACTGTTATTGAACATGGCCAAAGAATAATTTGGATACCTGATAAGATGCACTGATTAATCTAGAAGTGTTAAAAAACAGACCAGATTACTAGCTTGAAAATAATAAAAATATATCCTAATTTAATAATTCTGTGATTCAGAAGACATATTGGGGTAATCATTATAAATCTCAATATTGTAGAAATATAGAAGTATTAGTTAAGAGTAATGTTCAGGTTGAAAACAACCAGATTTAAAAAAAATAATGTTTATTTATTTTTGGGAGAGAGACAGACAGACAGCATGAGCAGGGAAGGGGCAGAGAGAGAGGGAGACACAGAATTCAAAGCAGGATCCAGGCTCTGAGCTGTCAGCACAGAACCTGATACAGGGCTCGAACCCACGAACCTCGAGATCATGACCTGAACCAAAGTCGGACACTTAACCGATTGAGCCACCCAGGCGCCCAGAAAATGACCAGATTTTTAAAATTTACATTTGCAAAGATTCAGATTCCATAACCTCTGGCATCTCGTCCAGTGTTTATCCTCCAATATGTATGTCCTATTATATATCCCTTGTATAGCCACCCATAACCAATCTCAGTTGACTAAATCCACTGTTCTGGCTTACAATAAAAGTGCCAAGACAATAATTTTCACTGAGATTATCTTCTCAATTAACTTCCACCTAAATTAGGACACAAATGTACCTGAAAATCTATTTCTATCTATATTTGAATACTTTCCTTTTGGTGTGACTTCTCATAATTAGTTTCCTTTTTACTTATTTTTTATTGATTTACATATATCTATTTACATGTAATGTTTTATTTTAATTCGTTTCATTTGTTATTTTGCAAAATATGTTGATCATCTCTTCCCTCGAAAAAAATCTAAAGTATGGAGGAACTTTTAAGTGATTGCTTTTGATTTGGCAACTAAAATAAACATTGTCTATTTCATAAGAAGAAAATATCATTGAAAGGAAAACGAGGCCGGAGCTACGGGCGCTTTTTCTGCCCGCGGTGTCTCAGATTCATTCTTAAGGAACTGAGAACTTAACCTTCCAAAATGTCAAAAAGACCATCTTATGCCCTACCTCCCACCCCAGCTCCTGCAACACAAATGCCCAGCACACCAGGGTTTGTGGGATACAATCCATACAGTCATCTCGCCTACAACAACTACAGGCTGGGAGGGAACCCGGGCACCAACAGCCGGGTCACGGTCTCCTCTGGTATTACGATTCCAAAACCCCCAAGCCACCAGATAAGCCGCTGATGCCCTACATGAGGTACAGCAGAAAGGTCTGGGACCAAGTAAAAGCTTCCAACCCCGACCTAAAGTTGTGGGAGATTGGCAAGATTATTGGTGGCATGTGGCAAGATCTCACTGATGAAGAAAAACAAGAATATTTAAACGAATACGAAGCAGAAAAGATAGAGTACAATGAATCTATGAAGGCCTATCATAATTCCCCGGCATACCTTGCTTATATAAATGCAAAAAGTCGTGCGGAAGCTGCTTTAGAGGAAGAAAGTCGACAGAGACAATCTCGCATGGAGAAAGGAGAACCTTACATGAGCATTCAGCCTGCTGAAGATCCAGATGGTTATGATGATGGCTTTTCAATGAAGCATACAGCCACTGCCCGTTTCCAGAGAAACCACCGCCTCATCAGTGAAATCCTTAGTGAGAGTGTGGTGCCAGACGTTCGGTCAGTTGTCACAACAGCTAGAATGCAGGTCCTCAAACGACAGGTCCAGTCCTTAATGGTTCATCAGCGAAAACTAGAAGCTGAACTTCTTCAAATAGAGGAGAGACACCAGGAAAAGAAGAGGAAATTCCTGGAAAGCACAGATTCATTTAACAATGAGTTTAAAACGTTGTGCAGTATGAAAGTGGAAGTGGACATGGAAAAAATCGCCGCTGAAATTGTACAGGCAGACGAATAGGCTCGCAAAAGGCAGGAGGAAAGAGAAAAAGAGGCAGCGGAGCAAGCTGAACGCAGTCAGAGCAGCATGGTTCCTGAGGAAGAGCAAGCTGCCAGTAAGACCGAGGACAAGAAGGACGACGAGAGCGTCCCAATGAAGACAGAGGATACACACCTTGAAGAAGCGACGGAGAGCCAACAGAACGGTGAAGAAGGCACATCTACTCCTGAGGACAAGGAGAGCGGGCAAGAGGGGGTGGACAGTATGGCTGAGGAAGGAACCAGTGATAGTAACACTGGCTCAGAGAGCAACAGTGCAACCGTGGAGGAATCACCAGCAGACCCCACACCGGAAGACGAGAAGAAAGAATAAATGTTGCCTTGTTTTATGTGTTCTAAATACTTTTTTAAATGAAAATAAGATGTTTTTTGAGTTAATAAAAAGAAAATATCATTAATTGAAAATGTGTACTGATCTGAGAAATGTCTGTTGTTTCCAAAAAGTACTTTCTACATTAGTCAGATAAATCTCAGTATTTATAGGACTTATATAGTATTTTAGTTGTGTGCAAGATTTGCAATATAGCATAGGAAAGAATACTACACTTACGTGCTTAACAGAGACATATACTGAAGAGGAGATATGAGTTTCCTAACTTATCTGTAACAATGGTTAAATGAAAGTTTGTTAAGAGCAATTGAAGAATGCAGAATTATCCACTCATTAAAAATTTTAAAGCACTTGAACATTAGGATGTACACAATTATAGAAGAAGATTATAAATTATTTCCTTTTCAAAAATAAGAAGAAAAGTGTATGAGGGAAAATATGTAAATTTTATTGTAATAGTCCCCTTTGTTGGTATTTCTCAAAATATTTCTGGCCATCAACCCTTAAACGTTTCCATGATTATATATGACTAATATCACATCATCCATTTCTAATCAGAAATATTTTCTAAGTCCGTAATCTCTTTCAAAATTCACCAGTTTCACCACAGAAATGATAGTGAATTTCAATGCCACGTTCTTTCATCTAAAATGTCCATCTTTCCTAGCCTAGTGGGCAGCTACTCATATTCTAAAAGCCCAGGCCAAATGTTATTCCCCCTGCAAAACCCTTACCAATCTTTCTCCCAGGCAGAATTCATCCTTTCCTTAAATGTGCATTCATAGGTCTTTTTAGATACCTCTTTTAGACTTTACATCCCAGTGTATTATAATTATATGTTGCATCAGTTAGGAATTGTTTTGGCTGTCATTAAGAAACCCATGATTTTTCTATCCCGTAAGAGAAATCCAAAGGTAGGCAGTTCAATATTGGTATGGTGGCTGGATGCTTTCATCTTACTGCTATATTTTCCAAGCTCAAGCTCTGCCTTTGTAGCTTGAAGTTTTCTTAATGTAACAATATGGTTGCTCTATCTCCAGCCATCACATCCATGTCCTAGGCAAGGATAAATAAGAAGGTAATGCAAAATGGCCTCCCACCTTAGCAGCCTCATAAGCACCATCAATCTTCCTCTTCCCACCCCAGTGCATACATGTGCACACACACATATGCATGGACTCAATTATGAAGTTTCCTAGGAAGCCCAACCAATATCTTCCACCTCCATACAATTGGCCTATATATAGTCACATGGGCTCCTCTATCTGAAAGGAAGGCTGAGAAATTACATTTTGCCCTATTTGAGTGTATAGCCACCCCCCAAAAAATCAGGTTTTGTCACTTAGAATGAGGAGATAGGATATGTGATAGACAACTAGCAATCTGCCACATTTTTCACTTTTTTTTCTTTTTTTTTTTTTTTAATTTTTTTTTTCAACGTTTATTTATTTTTGGGACAGAGAGAGACAGAGCATGAATGGGCGAGGGGCAGGGAGAGAGGGAGACACAGAATCGGAAACAGGCTCCAGGCTCTGAGCCATCAGCCCAGAGCCCGACGCGGGGCTCGAACTCACGGACCGCGAGATCGTGACCTGGCTGAAGTCGGACGCTTAACCGACTGCGCCACCCAGGCGCCCCTTTTTTTTTCTTTTTTACCATATCTGTTTCCTTACCTAGAATGTAAAATTTTGGAAGGTATAGAGTATGTCACATTCACTTTGTATTTCTAGAGTCTAGCACAGTACAAGACACTCAAGACAGTGGTTTACTGTTTATTTCCTTTACCTACAATATGAAGGGTTATTCTGTGTAATTTGCCTAGATAAAAAAAGATTCCATGTTTTATCAGAATAATTTTTTGTGCTTTATGTTGACTTCATTGTGTCCTCAGTTATTTAAGAAAACAAAACTTCTTCACCTATGTAAGGCTAAGGTTCTTGACAATCATGTTACCTTCTATGTTTATCTTTAAATGTTTTATTGTTCCCTTCATACGAATAGCCAAATAATGTTTCTTGGCACTAACTATTCTATTTTAAGTGCTCAAATCTCCTGATAAATTTTCATTTTTTTCTTTCCTAAAATTTAATCCTTAATGTAAAATGAAATAAAATAAATTTCAGGATATCTTTTGCATCTATAGTTATCCTTCGGCATTTCCCCAAGGGTCCCTGGACAATCAAAAACTTGTTCTTTAACCTTGTAAAAAGAGAGGTGCTAGAAACTGTTATGTTTATTCAGTGTTACTGCTGATGATTCCATGGGAAAAGTTGTACAATTTGAAGAGATGCTCAGACTTCCCCAAGTTAAGTTTGCATGGGAAAAACATTATATTAATATAAAAATTTCAGAAATTATATGCTATATGGGAAATACATAGAGATTTCTCAATGCCCTCAGTCTCCATGATGTTTCTATTTATCAGAGTACTGGTAGTGCTTTGCCTGAGAATATTAAGCAACAGCAATATAGTGTTATCAGTTATAATTTCAGTTAGTGTTATAAACTTTTACTGGACCACAACTTACATCTTATGAATTTGAATCTAGCATCTCAAGGCCAGTGCTTTTTAATTGAGGATGCACATCAAACTTAATTATGGAGTTCCATTAAAATATAGTTTTTTGTACCTCTTCCAGCCTTAATGAATCTCTTTATTTGATATTGTTCATATTCTATCAACATGTTTCTCCCTGAATGTTTGATATATTCATAGTATAGAATGTACATTGTATCTCTGTATTACTATATGCTATATCTTAAGTTTTTTTTCTTTATAAAAGTTATTTTCATTAATTTTTTTGTAAATCAGATGTAATATTCACTATCTTTGCTGAAAATAGGCTCAATAATTATCCTTACAGATATTTCGTCTATAACTTTGGGAATTGGCTTTATTATTGGGATTGTCTCTGATATCATACATTTGGGCCCATTGGTTTGTCATCTAGCAAAAAGGATCAGCAGATAATTAAATTCAAGAAAGAAAAAAAGTTAGGGGTCTCTGACTCAAGAACTGAAACCCTAAGTACTTTAGATGACTTCTGGATTTCTTTTTTCTCCCCTCAGCCCTCCTAAGTTCATGCTTTATAGGAGGTCTAGAAAGTAGAGCAAATCCTACATGCTGTGGTTCAGAGAATAGCAAGTAGTTTTGACAATGCTACTGCAACAGGCTGAATTGTATCCCCCTAATGATATTATTTCCACGTCATCATCCCTGGAACATGTGACTATTACTTAATATGGCAAAAGAGTGAATGTTACTGTAAATGGCAAACAAAAAAACATGTGAGTAAGAATTTTGAGAGAAGGACCTGATCCTGGATTATCTAGATGGGCCCTAAATCCAAAGACAGGTGTCCTTATAAAAGTGAGGCAGAGGGAGATTTGACAGAGACAGAAGGTAATGTGAAGATGAAGGCTGAGATTGGAGTGATGGAGCTACAAGCCCAGTGCATCCCCCAGAAGCTGGAAGAAGCAAGGAACATTTCATCTCTAGAGTTCCCAGAGCAAGTGTGGTCCTGACAGATTTTAGATTTCTAGACTCCAGAACTGTTGTGAGAATAAATGTCTTTCGTTTTAAGCCACCATATTTACAGCAATTTGTTACAGCAGCCTTAGGAAACTAACATAGCCACCAAGACTATAGAACTTTTTTTTAAGTTTATTTATTTATTTTTTTGAGAGAGAGAGAGTGGGGGAGGGGCAGAGATAGAGAGGAAGAGAGACTATCCCAAGCAAGCTCCACACTGTCAGTGCAGGGCCTGATGCAGGGCTCGAACCCACAAACTGTGAGATTATGACCTGAGCTGAAATCAGGAATCAGATGCTTATTTGACTGAGCCATCCAGGCACCCTAAGACTATAGAACTTTTTGATCCAAAAGTTCATGAAATTGAACAGGTGGTGGCTCAGAATAGAGCTGCTTAGATATAAGACTGGTTTCTTGAGGAAGAGTGTGGGCAATTTTAACAGTAGAATTTTGTGTTTATATCCCTGCAGACCTCTCTGAGATATTTGATACTACTAAAAATATAGGAAATAAACCAAAAAATCAGAAATTGCATAATTTGGAGAACAATCTCATACCTGCTTTGACAGACTCTTTCGATTGGGGCCAAGATCTATTCACTTGGTGTAATATGGGCACTTGGCTTTCCTAGCTGAGAAGTAGACCACAAACTGAACTGTGACAAATAATACATTCAAATTTCATTTTATCTGTAGGTTGTGTTGGTGATATTTGGGGAGCTAATTATTTATTTGTATGTGTATATATACATATATATATATGTGTGTGTGTGTATAATGTATATATATACACACACACAACTTTATATATCTAGATGTACAAATATAGACATAGATACACACATACACATACATATACATCAATCACATGAAAAAATTACAAGGGTTAGACTATAGATCATTGGGTCAAGTCCAATATATTTCTATCCAAAAGTAACCAAAATGATAAAAATTGGTTGACAATTCTCAATCTTGTTCAGTCTCTCCACAACCCTCTTGGAGCCCATCAGCTCTCTGGGAGGTAAATTATGCATCTGAAGAAGGCAGATCACCTTGGAGTTTCTTTGCAGGCCCAAACCCTCACAGAAGGTAGGGAACTACTATATCTATGTTTTCAGAGAAACAGGAATTAGGAAAGATATTGGTGGAGAAAGGAAGGGAGAGATGAACTGGGTAAATTTGTTCAGACTAGATACACCCAAGGGACAATACAAATAAATTGAAGTGGGGCAAGGAGGGAGGATGCACAACAGTCATGAGCTCTTAATGGTTAAGAGCTTGGTAAAGATGTATTAATACATTATTACCATATATTTAAGTAAAAGTTATATACACAAGTGCACATACTCTGTTTACTGCTCTCAATATCTAATTAGTATTTCTCTACTGAGAAATATACTGGAGGGACTTCTTTTAAAGGAAAAACATTCTCTTAGACTCAAGCATTTATATAAATTCTTTTAATAATATTTCTTAAATGTAAACAAATATAAAACTAAATAGAGACTCTGCTGTTCATAAAGCTCTTATACAAATTTAACACCAAAGGAAATTTAAAAATTGTGCACAAATAAAAAATATTAATTCACTGTGGTACATGATATTTACTGAGACAAAACTGCTCTTAGAAACCTGAACATACTACTGAGTGGCCAGCGTGTGTTCTTGGCCTTTAACAGGCTTGTATGTGAGTCTTGTGAGGACTCAGCTTTCCCATCACTTTCCTTTTCCAAACTACCAGAAAATCTTCATCTGTATAGTCAGCCATGAAGTAAGAGGTACACCTAATTTATTTTCTCACTAGGCCATGACAATTAAAGTAGTATTGTTGCCAACTTGACTTTGAAAACAGGCTCAAATACATGTCCTAATTATGTGGCAGCTGTTCGTTACCATTCATCATCCAGACTCCAGGAAATGCTTAAAATTAAATGTAAAAGTAAAACATATTTGTAAAAACTTCACAGCTCTGTCATTAGACTCCACTTTGAAAAACACTGTGCTATTATTACAGTATGTGTAAAAAATATATATGTTTAGACTATTTTGCTAGCTTCTTATTAATAGCTTCTGGTGCTATTACCTGTGTACCTACATTATTTTTTTAAGTTTATTTATTTTTGAGAACGAGAGAGTGGGGGAGGGGCAGAGAGAGAGAGAGAGAGAGAGAGAGAGAGAAAGAAAGAATCCCAGGCAGGCTCCACACTGTCAGCACAGAGCCCAACTCATGGCTCAAACTCAACATCCCTGAGGTTATGACCTGAGCTGAAATCAAGAGTTGGATGCTCAATGGACTGAGCCACCCAGTTGCCCCTTGAGTACCTACATTATTATGCAGCTCTTGACTCCTGTTTCATTTGGACAATTAAGTCTCTTGTTTGTGGGGACCAAGCCATGGCCCATTCAGGCTCACTGGGAATGGTGCTTTGGAGACCACAAGTCAACCCATTATCACCCTCACATGCATGATTTTTAAATTAAATGAAAGAAGACAGGCACACTCAACAGTCAGGTAACCAAATAACTGAAGCAAGACAATATAAAATTTTAAAGGAGTGGTTCAGTTGTTTTCATTTTAAGTTGCATTGGTGGACGTGGCACAAGAAAGACTGTTTGGGGCTTGTGTGTGACAACTACCTATTTCCCCAACTTCTTTTCTCCTTTCCTTCTTTTTGGGTTCTTTCACCTTTCCTCTTTCTTCCACCTACTTTAGTTTTACTTTTCCCCCAGAGTTCAATGTAATGAGTTTTTCCATAAAGCTAAATATATTTAATGTTTTTTTTCAATATATGAAATTTATTGTCTAATTGGTTTCCATACAACACCCAGTGCTCATCCCAAAAGGTGCCCTCCTCAATACCCATCACCCACCCTCCCCTCCCTCCCACCCCCATCAACCCTCAGTGTTTTTTTTATTAAGAGATTATGCCTTTATCATTTTTATATGAAAATGTGCTTCCTTTTATAAAATAGAGTTTAGGGGCGCCTGGGTGGCTCAGTCGGTTGAGCATCTGACTTCGGCTGGGGTCATGATCTCCCAGTTCGTGAGTTCGTGACGTTGGGCTGTGTCTGAGCTAACAGCTCAGAGCCTGGAGACTGCTTCAGATTCTATGGCTCCTTCTCTCTGCCCCACCCCTGCTTGCTGTCTCTCTCTGTCTTTCAAAAATGAATACACATAAATAAAATAAAATAAAATAAAATAAAATAAAATAAAATAAAGAAAAAATGTCTTAATTTGGCAAAATAAGAAATTGGCAATCTTGTGTTTTCCACTGAACATTAAAAAAAAATGTTAACATGTCCAAGATCAGCACCCACTTGTCTGGAAAACAGAGAAAAGAGACAGGGAGAAAGAATGGTATGTGATATCTAATAAGTTGACTTAAGTTGAACAAGTTAAGCGCCACAATATACTTTCTACTGGAGCAGGAATATGTAAGACTCATTTGGGAGTCAGGGAAGGCTTCACAGAGGAGGTAACATTTGAGCTGGGGCTTTAAGGATTAGCAGGGGGAGAAAAGGCAGGGCATTCCAAGCAGAATGCATAATGCAAGCAAGAGCACAGAGCACAAAAGAGCACTACGTGTCCAGCAGCTCTGAGTAGCCTGGTGACTGTTGTGTAGAGTTCTCAGGGTTAGAAGATCAGGGGTGAGGCAGGGACTATTTTTTCCTTCTTGGCCCATTTTCCCTATAGCTCATTGCACAGTGCTGGGCACACACTGCAGGGACTCAATATAAATACTTATTGAATTGGGACAGGGTGGTCAAGTACGCTGGGAACCAGGACATCTGGATTCTTTCTCACGCACTCTCAGTGTGACCTTGGCCAAGTCCGTTTTCTCAGGGCCGCTGCTTGCTGCTTAGTAATCAGCCCTGGGTGAGAAAACGGAGGTGGTTGGCCTGAAGTGCCGGGCCTTTCCAGCTCCTGGAATCCCTGATTCCACGCGTCGAGGGCGGGGCGGGCGGAGGTTCAGTTCCTCCTCCGCTCCAGCAGGGGGCGCAGGAAGCGACTTCCCGCCGCCCTTCTCTTCCCGGCGGGCGCCAGGCGGATAGCAGGAGTAGCGAGCTGCGAGCGCAGTGGGCGGGACGGACGGCGGTGGCTCTGTGCTGCGCTGCGCTTACTGGGCTGGGCCGGGCAACGGCGGTGACGGAATCGGCTGCAGAGGCCGAGGCGCTGACCGGGTCGTCAGCCGCCTGCTGTGGTCTCAGCCTCTTCGCGCGGCCAGCATTCCCCGGGCGGCGTCTGGCCGTGGCGCTCAGCCTGCTAGTGAGCTGCGGTGGGCACACCCTGGCGCGGCGGCGGCCGACAGGTTAGAGTGGGGGAAGGGGCAGGCGCGGGAGCCGCTTGGGGCTAGAGAGGCAGCCCGAAGCCAGGCAGTCTCCAGCCATGTCCGACGAGACGTCGGCCACCACTTCGTATGAGAAGTTTCTAACCCCCGAGGAACCCTTCCCCCTTCTGGGACCCCCTCGCGGGGTGGGCACCTGCCCGAGCGAGGAGCCAGGTTGCCTGGACATCAGCGACTTTGGCTGCCAGCTGTCCTCTTGTCATCGCACCGATCCGCTCCACCGCTTTCACACCAACAGGTACGAACTGCCGCTGAGGGCAGGGGCGAACTGTTCACACCCCTGCCTTAAGCTGGAGAACGCCAGGTCCCTCCCATGCCTGGATGTCCTCCTCGGGTCTGCGCTTCCTTTCGTCCCCTCCCCCACCTTCCTCCGACCAGCGCTCATTCCCTGGCTCCTTCCCTCTCCCCCTCCCTATGTTCACCCCTGCCCTCCGATTTTCCTTTCTGCTGGCATTTTACTTGCTCTCTTTTCCGATTCTTCTGACCACAGCGACTCCTCCCTTTCCCTTCTTGCCTCATCTGTACCCTGAGAATTCCAAATCCCCACCCACGATTTTAAGATGCATCCCTGTTTCCATCCACCTGAAAAAGTTTAACCCCTTCCATCTCCCATACACTCTAGAGTAGATTTCGGATGACTCAAAGTCAATCTATGGATCTTTTGAAAAATGGCACTTTTAAAACTAGAATCTTCCCTTTCCCGATTTTTAGCCTGTCTCACAGCCCAGTCCCCCCGCCCCCCCCCCCATTTTTTTGGTGAAGCTCTAGAAAACCAGGCCGTTCTTTTTTTCCTGTCCTTATGAACTTTTGCTTTACCACTTTAGGCCCTGCCAAAATGTATAAGCTTAGATCTGGAAGGTTCCTTCATGTAGCCTATCCCTTGGTTTGCTCCCCCAGTGGAGGGATGGAGCTACGTTTAGGATGGGCTTGCTTTTACAAATTTATTTAGAGGGTGCATCTCCTAACTGATTTTATTGGAAGGAAGATTGTTCTGGAGAATTCCATCACACAGGCATTTAAGTATTATACCAAATGTGGGGATTTAAAGATGTTGTACACAGAGGTCCAACCTTTAATAAAGGTGGATATTGGGAGATACATACCAAAGCCTGGGAGGGTGTGTGGGGAACAAGGGAGATGGAGAAGGGTTCAGCTATGGAAAATATTGGAGCTGACTTAAGTCTAGTTCTGATTTCTGACCCACAACATGAGCATGAACATCCTTCCACATTTTGATGTCTTTTGCATACCCCATGCTTCTTTTTATCTTTTTCTTTTTTTTTCTCTTTTTTTTTTTTAAATTTTTTTTTCAGCGTTTATTTATTTTTGGGATAGAGAGAGACAGAGCATGAACGGGGGAGGGGCAGAGAGAGAGGGAGACACAGAATCGGAAACAGGCTCCAGGCTCTGAGCCATCAGCCCAGAGCCCGACGCGGGGCTCGAACTCACGGAGCGCGAGATCGTGACCTGGCTGAAGTCGGACGCTTAACCGACTGCGCCACCCAGGCGCCCCTATACCCCATGCTGCTTAAATCAGTCTGCAGATTTACTGAGCACAAAGAGTGTATAAAACATGATTCTTACCTGAAAGAAATGTATAGTCTGGAAACGTGTTACATTTAAAGAGTATCATGAGTATAACACATTTGAAAAGGAAGTGGTAGTAAATTTGTTACGTCTTTTCCAAATCCTCATTACAAAACTGAGGAAACTGAGGCCCAGGAGGAAAGACTGAGTTCAAGGTCATAAAACTGAGTTAGGCAAAGCCAAGATTATTTCTTTGAAGTCAGTGATGAAACTTGGAACAGAACTAATGGCTCAAATGTTATAAATGGTTGTTACAGTTTCTTAGACTAACTCACAGAAGCCTATTTAACCCAAGATGTGATTATAACATGAATGTAATCTGTTTATGAAATCAAGTGTTTTAGGATTGTTTGCACTGGAAAATGATATAAAAGAATACTTCTGCACATATTTGGTATTTAAGTTTTTGCAGCATTGGAGCAAGTCATATATACAGGAAGTGAAATGATTTCAGAATTGGCCTGCTCTGATGATGAGGGAAAGGGAGTGGAGAAAGAGGCTGAGGGTAAGCACTGCCAAAACGGGTGGGGTGATGAGGAGTGAAACCAGGAGAATAATATATTTCTTACAGCTTGTTCTGTTCTTTCACCTCCTCCCCATTTTTGTTCTTGTGTTTTTCTATTCCTTTTCTTAGAGACGGAAGTAAGGTCAAGGTTGTTTTCCAGAAAGGGGCAGTTATGATAGAGGGGGAGGTTATTGTTCAGCCCCAGTTTTTCTAAGTCAGAAATTTTTCCTAGTTACTGCCTACTTTTCAGAAATTTCCATCTCATACCCTACTTTTCCGAAGGCTTGGAATGGCAGTACTGGTCTAATGTATTTTGCTCTGTACCCTTTCCAACAGAGATTAGGGCAATCAGAATTAGCAATGTTTACATCCGATGATGTTTCTGCCCTAGGCTACCTTTTATTTATTTATTTATTTATTTATTTATTTATTTATTTATTTCTTAAATCTGTCTTTAGAAAGCCTTCTCTCCATTTATCCTCAACAAAACTGCCAAAGCATTATGTTTTATTTTTTATTTTTTTAGTATATGAAATTTATTGTCAAATTGGTTTCCACACAACACCCAGTGCTCATCCCAAAAGGTGCCCTCCTCAATACCCATAACCCACCCTCTCCTCCCTCCCACCCCCCATCAACCCTCAGTTTGTTCTCAGTTTTTAAGAGTCTCTTATGCTTTGGCTCTCTCCCACTCTAACCTCTTTTTTTTTTTTCCTTCCCCTCCCCCATGGGTTTCTGTTAAGTTTCTCAGGATCCACATAAGAGTGAAAACATACGGTATCTGTCTTTCTCTGTATGGGTTATTTCACTTAGCATCACACTCTCCAGTTCCATCCACGTTGCTACAAAGGGCCATATTTCATTCTTTCTCATTGCCATGTAGTACTCCATTGTGTATATAAACCACAAGTTCTTTATGCATTCATCAGTTGATGGACATTTAGGCTCTTTCCACAATTTGGCTATTGTTAAGAGTGCTGCTATAAACATTGGGGTACAAGTGCCCCTATGCATCAGTACTCCTGTATCCCTTGGGTAAATTCCTAGCAGTGCTATTGCTGGGTCATAGGGTAGGTCTATTTTTAATTTTCTGAGGAACCTCCACACTGCTTTCCAGAGTGGCTGCACCAGTTTGCATTCCCACCAACAGTGCAAGAGGGTTCCCGTTTCTCCACATCCTCACCAGCATCTATAGTCTCCTGATTTGTTCATTTTGGCCACTCTGAGTGGCGTGAGGAGATATCTGAGTGTGGTTTTGATTTGTATTTCCCTGATGAGGAGCAACGTTGAGCATCTTTTCATGTGCCTGTTGGCCATCCGGATGTCTTCTTTAGAGAAGTGTCTATTCATGTTTTCTGCCCATTTCTTCACTGGGTTATTAGTTTCTTGGGTGTGGAGTTTGGTGAGCTCTTTATAGATTTTGGATACTAGCCCTTTGTCTGATATGTCATTTGCAAATATCTTTTCACATTCCATCGGTTGCCTTATAGTTTTGTTGGTTGTTTCCTTTGTTGTGCAGAAGCTTTTTATCTTCATAAGGTCCCAATAGTTCATTTTTGCTGTTAATTCCCTTGCATTTGGGGATGTGTCAAGTAAGAAATTGCTACGGCTGAGGTCAGAGAGGTCTTTTCCTGCTTTCTCCTCTAGGGTTTTGATGGTTTCCTGTCTCACATTCAGGTCCTTTATCCATTTTGAGTTTATTTTTGTGAATGGTGTGAGAAAGTGGTCTAGTTTCAACCTTCTGCATGTTGCTGTCCAGTTCTCCCAGCACCATTTGTTAAAGAGACTGTCTTTTTCCATTGGATGTTCTTTCCTGCTTTGCAAAGATTAGTTGGCCATATGTTTGTGGGTCTAGTTCTGGGGTTTCTGTTCTATTCCATTGGTCTCTGTGTCTGTTTTTGTGCCAATACCATGCTGTGTTGATGATTACAGCTTTGTAGTAGAGGCTAAAGTCTGGGATTGTGATGCCTCCTGCTTTGGTCTTCTTCTTCAAAATTACTTTGGTTCTTCGGGGCCTTTTGTGTTTCCATATGAATTTTAGAATTGCTTGTTCTAGCTTCGAGAAGAATGCTGGTGCAATGTTGATTGGGATTGCATTGAATGTGTAGATAGCTTTGGGTAGTATTGACATTTTGACAATATTTATTCTTCCAATCCATGAGCAGGGAATGTCTTTCCATTTCTTTATATCTTCTTCAATTACCTTCATAAGCTTTCTATAGTTTTCAGCATACAGATCTTTTACATCTTTGGTTAGATTTATTCCTAGGTATTTTATGCTTCTTGGTGCAATTGTGAATGGGATCCGTTTCTTTATTTGTCTTTCTGTTGCTTCATTGTTAGTGTATAAGAATGCAACTGATTTCTGTACATTGATTTTGTATCCTGCAACTTTGCCGAATTCATGTATCAGTTCTAGCAGACTTTTGGTGGAGTCTATCGGATTTTCCATGTATAATATCATGTCATCTGCAAAAAGCGAAAGCTTGACTTCATCTTTGCCAATTTGGATGCCTTTGATTTCCTTTTGTTGTCTGATTGCTGATGCTAGAACTTCCAGCACTATGTTAAACAACAGCGGTGAGAGTGGGCATCCCTGTCATGTTCCTGACCTCAGGGAAAAAGCTCTCAGTTTTTCCCCATTGAGGATGATGTTAGCTGTGGGCTTTTCATAAATGGCTTTTGTGATCTTTAAGTATGTTCCTTCTATCCCGACTTTCTCAAGGGTTTTTATTAAGAAAGGGTGCTGGATTTTGTCAAAGGCCTTTTCTGCATGGATTGACAGAATCATATGGTTCTTCTTTTTTCTTTTATGAATGTGATGTATCACGTTGATTGATTTGCGAATGTTGAACCAGCCCTGCATCCCAGGAATGAATCCCACTTGATCATGGTGAATAATTCTTTTTATATGCCATTGAATTCGATTTGCTAGTATCTTATTGAGAATTTTTGCATCCATATTCATCAGGGATATTGGCCTATAGTTCTCTTTTTTTACTGGGTCTCTGTCTGGTTTAGGAATCAAAGTAATCCTGGCTTCCTAGAATGAGTCTGGAAGTTTTCCTTCCTTTTCTATTTCTTGGAATAGCTTGAGAAGGATAGGTATTATCTCTGCTTTAAACGTCTGGTAAAACTCCCCTGGG